GTGTACGACTCCGTGTACCTTAATTGTGTTAGAAAAGAATATAAATCTTGAATAAATCTATAACTGCATATAACAAGGCCATACATAAGACGTTTATTTGTATAGTTGCCAGTATTTGCATACAAAATTCGGTGAACAGACGTCAAGAATAAGTGTTTGCCGTCGACATAGCGGAGTACAAAATATTTCTGAGTGTTTCTCATTTTACGTTTGGCCTCTCCACCATTTTGTATTAATAAGTAGACTCTTTGCATATGGCAATTTTTCGTTGAATAAGCATATTTGTATGTACATACATATATACTGCATATATAAACAAAGCTGTTTCGATAGGTTTGCTTTTGGGTTTCCATTTTATTTATACACACATTATGTTTATGTTTGATTTTCAATTCTTATTTATATATTTCTTATTGTGTCTTCTCGACAATTGGATATTGGAGTGCGCTTTGCAAAATTGAAGGATTTGCTGGCATGGATTGTAAAGGAATAGCGAGACAGATACGTTTCCCACTCCTGACACACTGTTCAGCCTTATTGGCGCAGGCAAAATGATTGTGACAGAGCGTATAAATGGATGTGAATATGCTTTTCTTTCCTTTTTTGCCAGCTTTTCGTTTTTTGGCCCAGGATCCAAATTGCAGTTTTCTTCTTTCGATGGATTTTCTTTTGTGTATTTTTGTGTATTTCTGCCAGACAAGCCCATGCAAATAGCAAATATTAAATACCTTCAAATCGCTCTTGCGCGATTCCAGCATATATAATAGCAAATAATATATATATATATGCATATATAATAGCTGGAATCACGCATGCACGCATAGTAAAATCCTTCTTCACGATTTTATTATCGTGCTTGCATATTTTTGTATGAATATTCATATTCATATTCACTTTTCTGTTTTTTGTTAATATTTCTGCCTTCTTGTTACATAAAATATAACAGCTACTCATCAAATTTTAGCATGGAAATATTCATTTTCATATGTACTACTCTCTCTCCTTTTTTAGGCAAATGCTTTATTTCTTATGAACATTTTGTTTGCCAATATTTTTCCTTCCCGTCGCTCGAGTGTGTGTATGCTTGCTTTTGTTGTAATTTCGGTTTATTGTTTTCTATATATTTTTCTGCTTGAATTCACTAAAAGCTACTCAAATGCTAGTCAACCCAACTTGTACCTTGCATACCCTCCACATCCCCTACATCCTTCTTATTGTTGATCCACTTCTCCACTTCAGTTTCGCTTGGCAAGGCATTTGTTTGGTTTATGTCTTTATTTTGTACCATGCGAGAGGAGCCAAGAATAGAGCTTTACTTTTTTCTATACTCTTTTTGATGGAGAGCTCATAAAAATCTGATGCTTTTTATGGCAGCATTTTGTTTTAGTGCAGTTCTACTGATTAAGCATATAACATTGTAATTTTTTACGGATTAGCTTTAAATTAAAATTCTAAAAGTGTGTACAAAAGAAATCTATATATATATATATATATAGTTCCAAGTAAATATTTTCAAAAAATTGTAAGAATGAATTTAATTTTAGGGCATTTAGTTGTCGACTTTAGCGTTTATCTACTATTTTTGCCTGCTTGTTGAAGTTGATTTTTCTTTTTACTCTTTTTGTTGTTGTTGAATAATGGGTGCCATTCGACTGGGAAATGGTATTGCAAGTATATAAATACTTATACATATATGTACATATATGTGAATGTATATATGTATATGGGACTGCTTTTTACTTGATGTGTCCTTATATGAACCAAAATAAATAATAAATAAATTGTTATTCGAAAGAAAAAGAAACAGAAAGAACAAAAACACTGAAATCGCAAAAGAGTAGGACAAGAAATTTGGAAAAAGTGGGAATTGTGTCTTGTAAATTCTTTATTGTAAGTATTCTCAAGCTAAATTTATTTAAAAATTAATCGGTTTCTGATTTTGTGCCAAAATAACGTGTATTTTTAATTAAATAACATTTTCTTGTCTCTTAATCTAGATTTTAAATTAATTATTACTTAACCTTTTCACATTTGATGCTGGGTGTAAATATTCCCAATTAATCAATTTTATGCAAGTTTTCAGCTTCTACCCCTGCTTGGGCTTTCTTTTAATGTTAGTATGAGATATTCACAAAGACCGAAAAGTATTACCACTCAATCAGAAATAAAACACAACCCGAAAATAAGTACAACAACAAAGGTCTCGGTCTCTGTAGGAAAGGTTGGGGAAATTCAGCGAACTTTGCCATCAAGTCATTGTTGTCGAACTTGGAGTGGCTCAGCATGGATAGAAATGCAAAGAGGGAGAAAAGGACAAGGAGCATAAGATACATAGAGAGAGAAAAAAAGAGAGAGACAGAGAGAGGGAGAGAGACAGAGAGAGAGAGAGAGCGAGAGAGAAAGAGACAGAGGAAGGGAGACGAGTCGGAGAAAGAATGACTGTGTCTGGGAGGCAGTAGAGAAACCACGCTGCTGCAGACAAGTCAAGCCAAAGTGTTGTTTGGATTTCATTATACAATTATCTTGTTACCAGAAATAATGGTGTCGAGTCGGGCAACATGCCAAAAACATCCAATGACGCTGATGCGCCGCCATGTGGGTGCCAGATGTGTGTATGTCTATAACTGTGTGTGTCGGAAGCTCTGCGTGGTGGCAAAAGCAGGAAGTCATTAGCAAAAAAAAAAAAAAAACGAAAAAACAAGAAAAAGGAATGGAGAGCTTCGCAATGGCTGCGCTGGGGTAGAATCAGAATAATGCGATAAATAAATGAAAATGTTTGAGTTAAATGAATTAAGTGTGCGATACTCTTGGCTGGCGTGCCTTTGTTAGAAACACTTTTTGTGTTAGCTGTCAGCGCAAGTGACAGTCCGTTAAATATACAGAACTTGAGGATATGTGCTTTTGGCAAAGTGAGTTTTCAACGATTGCCAGCTCCCTCATGCACATGATAAATGATACGCTTTCTCTCTCTAATGGCTCTCTATTTGTGTGGTAGTTAATTACCCAAATATCACTCACTCAATGTGACACAGGCAAAAAGTCATGGGATCATTCAGACTAACACTTTGTTGGATCATTTCTCTCAGTAGTTGCGCTGGATATTTTTTGCGCCATGTCATTACCATTGATTATTCATCGAACAATTTGCTCTATTGAAGCAAGCTGCTAGGGAAAAGTTACCGTTTCTGCTGGGCTAACAACATTTTGAAAATTCTTATTGGCATCGCTGGGTTAAAGGCTTCAAGTGCACTGGTGTGGATATAAGAGCATGATAGAATTATCTATAGAGTATAAAAATAATTGAGCAGTACAGAAATTAAATGAAAAAATTTTCTTCTTATAAAACCATACGAAAAGATTCTAATAGTTGTTGGATATAAATCTGAGTTTCTTACATACACAATATGGTCCGCTATAGCAAAAATATATACATATATATGAACAGTATCGCATATATGTGGAGGTAAGATG